CCACAGATATATAAAAATACTAGATAGCCGATTTCTATAGTACATACGTATAAAATAATGTCTCCAACAAAATGGCCGCCAATCGTTATCTAAGAGGTGACTGTTTACAAATTTAACTGATATGATAAGTGATAAGATACTATTTTGGAGGGCTATACAATAAATATATAATATTTTAAATTTTGTTGGGACTTAAGAAAATTTTTTTTCCGAATTATATTTATCTGGAACTATTTGGTTGGAGCTAAGATTCATCAAACAACTTGATGAATCTTAATAATAATAATAATAAAATACTTGTATTATGTTATTATTTTGTAATTATATACGAGCAAACATTACATATTAAGCATAGGTACTGTTTTTTATTTTATAACTTACAGTAAGTACAGTTGTTATTWATATTTTTTAAGTATAWACCWACWTATTACTATGGTTTATTATTGCTGTGCTTGGGGCTGTTYAAATAAATTATATCCCTCGGTATACTGGTATTTGTATTAGAATAAATTATTAATAAACTAACAATTTTTCTTGCATAAACCATATATAAAAACTTAACTCCACTCAAAATCTGTWWAAAATAATAATAGTTTTTAAAGATTATTAAGTTTAAACATTATAATATTATAATTATAAGTACCTATTGTTATGTATGTACATTGTACGGTGTGTCCGTTACTCCGATATGTTATCTGTAACGATAAATATATATATATAACATTATGTGATTATTATGTGTGTCCGCCGTCGTGCGTGATGATAAATAAACAGTCGTACTTTGTCAATGCTCGTGTGTGTACCTACGTCTGTCATATTTAAAATACGTAACATTTGGCGACGAAGATGGGATGTTCGGTGAAAATATTTATTTAATTTTCTTGTGATTATAATGTCGAATATTTCGCAATACGTACCGGGTTCGGAATCATTCAGTATTTATTTAGATCGTTTAAACGCGCAGTTGACCGTTCTAAAAGTTAAAGATGCTGATAAAAAGTCCTATTTAATCGCATACATTGGTTCGGAAGCATATAGTCAATTAAAAGATGCTTGTTTGCCGGAGGAACCACAATTAAAGTCATACGACGAGTTAGTGTCCAAATTGGAAGAAATATATTCACCACGTCGTCTTGTAGTGAGTGAAAGATTTATTTTTAACCAACGTACACAGAACCAGGGTGAGTCAACTCGGGAGTACATAACAGCATTAAAAAAATTATCAAGTTTTTGTGTATTTGGTTCGTTTTTAAACGATGCACTGCGTGATCGGCTTATTGTAGGGATAAGTGATGAATCGTGTCAACGGAAATTACTTRGTATAGATTCCCTAACGTTTGAAGAAGCATGTAAAATTGCTTTGGATTCGGAGTTGGTTTGTAATCAAACACAACAAATGAACAATAAATCACAAATAAATGTTGTCAATAATGGGAAAAGTGTGCCTCGTCAAACACATTCGTCATCGAAGTCGGAACTCAAGTGGAACGAAAATGCTGGTGGAAAACCGTGGTCTGAGAAGTCGTCAAAACCTGGTCAAAAAAATGGTCAGTCAATTCAGCACGGCAGTCAAAGTTCACGAAGTCTTAAGTTTGGTCAATGTTATAGATGTGGAAGGAAGCACGATGTCCGTACGTGTCCAGCCAGAGAGTGGGAATGTTTTTCATGTAAATTAAAAGGTCATACGTCGAAAATGTGTAAGACAAAAATTAAAAATAATTTAGAGTCTATTGATTTAGTAAATAGTGTGTCTCAGAATAGTGGGGGAAATCCGCTTGTGATTAAAATCAAAGTTAATAATAAGCTTATTCCGTTTGAGGTAGATAGTGGAGCGTCGGTTTCAGTTATGCCGATTAAATATTTTAATATGTATTTTAATAATTCATGTAAATTARAAAAAAAACATATTCAATTAAGTTCTGTAAATTGTGAACCAGTCAAGGTTTTAGGTCAAACACTTGTAAATGTCGAGATGTCAAATCAAAAAAATATTAAACTATATTTAATTATAACGGAAAACTCTGTAAAAAAAGTTTTAGTAGGTCGATCTTGGTTAGATAAGTTGTATTCGAATTGGAGATCGAATATGTGTTTAAATTGTATAAGTAGTAATGTAGATTGCAAAATYGGGAAAAATATTATGAATTTTGTAAATAATAATAATTGTGTTTTAAGTGAAATAGATGTAATTAAAAATATTAAACTCAAGTTTCCCGGGGTGGTTAAAATAAATGATAAACCTGCTGATTATATAAAAGACCATGAGGTCAATTTATCTTTAAAAGAAAATAGCGTACCAGTTTTCCATATAGCATATCAAGTACCATATGCACTAAAGTCTGCTGTAGAAATTGAGCTAAATAGTTCAGAAGTTGAAGGAGTTATAAGTAAGGTTTCAATTAGTGACTGGGCATCGCCTATTGTAGTAGTACCAAAAAAAAAATAATAAAATTAGAATATGTGTAGATTTAAAAACTACCTTAAATCCAAAATTACAAATTGAACAACACCCATTACCAAGAGTCGATGATGTGTTTAATGAGTTATCCGGGGGAAGTGTGTTCACTGTTTTGGATTTAGYAGAAGCGTATTTACAATTACAGGTTGCACCTGAAAGTCGTAAGTTTCTGACAATTAATACTCATAAAGGGTTGTACTGTTTTAATCGTTTATGTTATGGGGTAGYGTCAGCGCCAAGTATATTTCAGTCGGTCATGGAAAATATTTTACGAGGTGTTTCTAGAGTACAAGTATATTTARATGACATAATAATCTGCGGCTCGTCAAGGTCAGAGTGTGAAGAAAATGTTAATGYGGTGTTAGAACGTTTAAATGAGTATAGAGTTAAAGTAAATTTTGAGAAATGCCAGTTTKATTGTTCAAGTGTACAATTTCTAGGTCATAAAATAGATTGTCAAGGCGTACATCCCGATGAAAATAAAATGGATGCGATAAGAAACGCACC